CCTGAACCCTTCCCCCTGAAACACCTGAGCCCTGCCCCCTGAAACACCTGAACCCTTCCTCCTGAAACACCTGAACCCTTCCTCCTGAAACACCTGAACCCTTCCTCCTGAAACACCTGAACCCTTCCTCCTGAAAAACCTGAACCCCGCCCCCTGAAACACCTGAGCCCCGCCCCCTGAAACACCTTTTATACCTGTGCTCGAACTGTTTTGTTTTTATTTTCCACAGAAATCATAAATTATGAGTTCGACACCAAGACGCTGGTGTGTCTGCTGATCAGCAGCGTGGTGGGGGTCTGGTACCTGCTGAAAAAGGTAAGCTGGGATCAGAGGGGGGGTCACAGAAGCAGGTGTCTTCTCAGCCAATCACATGTCTTGTTGTGTGTGACATCACAGCACTGGATAGCCAACAACCTGTTCGGCCTGGCGTTCGCCCTGAACGGCGTGGAGCTGCTGCACCTCAACAACGTCAGCACCGGCTGCATCCTGCTGGGGGGGCTGTTCGTCTACGACGTCTTCTGGGTGAGACATCGTCTTCATCATCATCTTCATCACTGAGTGGCGCATTTATCTGTCAGATCAGTGTTTTTATTAATAAAGCAACTTTTCGGTGAAATAAATACAAAAACCTGTCCTCCTTACCTGTCCTGTGTCTCCAGGTGTTTGGGACTAACGTCATGGTAACGGTGGCAAAGTCATTTGAAGCTCCAATCAAACGTGAGTTTTCTGATGAATTCTGGGTGGACAGAGCGTTTGTTTTAGTCCTGAATGTTTGTTTTAGTCCTGAATGTTTGTTTTAGTCCTGAATGTTTGTTTTAGTCCTGAATGTTTGTTTTAGTCCTGAATGTTTGTTTTAGTCCTGAATGTTTGTTTTAGTCCTGAATGTTTGTTTTAGTCCTGAATGTTTGTTTTAGTCCTGAATGTTTGTTTTAGTCCTGAATGTTTGTTTTAGTCCTGAATGTTTGTCTCAGTCCTGAATGTTTGTTTTAGTCCTGAATGTTTGTTTTAGTCCTGAATGTTTGTTTTAGTCCTGAATGTTTGTCTC